CTTAACGCTTTCATCTGACAATGTTGCCTGGAATGGTTTTCTTTCGAGTTGCCTGGAATGTTCGTCTTTCTGAAATACAGCATAACTAGCATAAAACCAACAGCACACTTGCACGATGTTGTTGTTTGGCTACAGCTAAATTTTCTTTTCTCATTATTTAAATTTTGAAACCACAATTGGGTAAAACAAATGGCTCAATAACCAGAAGAAAGATAATAAAAACAAACAAACAACAAAAACTGAAACACTCAGCCTGTTTCGTGGAATAAAAACCACATTACGTCATCATGCAAACCGCCTATTACGTCATCATAAATTTATTCGCTCTTAGGTAGGATATTCAATAAGGAATACAGTCCTAATATCTTGTTTTCTTGGCACAACGTTGTCTGTCAAGGGGAGAGAAGTCTGGGGGAAATGGAGAGGGGAGAATTTACTCACACTTTTTACCACTGGGGCTGTGTTTGGGAACAATTCCTCTATCCTTTTCGCCTCTTTTGGAAGACCACTTTGTGCGTAGTTACGACTGCACTTAGTTGTACTTAAACTGACCAAGGTAGAAATCAGGAAGGCCATCAAATAGCTGAAGAATGGCAAGGCAGCAGGCATAGATGAGATTCCAGCGGCAGCACTTAAAGTAGACCCAGAGATGCTAGCTGAGATGTTTTATGGATTGTTTGAGAAAATCTGAGAAGGGGAAGAGATCCCTTCAGAATGGAAGGTCTCCTGATCAAGATCCCCAAGAAAGGAGACCTTGGCCTATGTTCAAATCACACTCCTGTCCGTACCCGGGAAAGCACTGAACTTAGTCATCTTGGAAAGGTTGAGAGGACCAATAGATCTAAGCCTGCGAGACCAGCAAGCTGGGTCCAGGCCAGGCAGGTCACGTACCTACCAGATCACAAAGCTACGAAATATAGTGGAACAGTCAATTGAATGGAACTCCCCCTCTGTCAATTTGTCGACTATGAGAAATTCTCGACAGCCTAGATATGGAGACATTACGGAAGTTGCTTTGACATTATGGGGTACCTATGAAGTTCCTAAACGTGATTCTGAACTGTTATGAGGGATTGTATTGCAGAGTGGTTCATGAAGGACAGTTGACGGAGAAGTTTGATTTAGGGACAAGGGTGAGGCAGAGATGCCTGCTGTCACCCTTCTTGTTCCTCTTGCGGCTATAGACTGGATCACGAAATCTGTCACAAACCAGAAAAGAAATGAGATCCAGTGGACCTTGTGGTCCCCGTTGGACGACGTGGACTTTCAAACGATCTAGCGCTTCTGTCACACAAACATCGGCAGGTGAAGGAAAACAACATCTGACCTACCTCATACCTCAGTGCAGTAGGACTGAAACTCAATAAACAAAAGACAAAGATCCAAAAAATCAATGCAGGCACTGATTAGCCAGTCACATTTGAAGGTGCCAACTCATGGAGATCGAAAGCGAATAATTTAATTGTTAAATAGAATTACGGCTTTTATCTTCCACTCTAGAGTAGGATGTTTTCTAAGTATCATTAGTAGAATTCTACTAGTATACTAAGGCAAATGCTGCAATCTGATTGGCTGAGCTACTCGTATACTATCAGCCATTAGAGTGCAGTGGCTGCAGATCATCTACGAAATGCGACGTTTTTATCGTTTTCCTAAAGTTTTGGAAGAAAGTTTAGATGTAAATGGATAATTAAATTCCCGAGAAGACTAAAAGAAGGACATTGATAGTTGATTCGGCCTCATCAACTATCACCTAGCTCATAGAAACCTCGAGCTCATAATCTAATTGTTAATTGGAATAAGCTTTCGATAGCCGATCATCTGAAGACCTGACGCTGGTTACGGAATGATCGCTGACGATCGCGCGAGTTTCTAGCTAGATTTTATCAGATAATTTACCCCCGTCCAGAACCGTTTCTCGCTTACAATTGAAATCAAGCATTTGGCTACATGCCAATCTCACTCCTATGACAAGACAGCAACTCAAATCACAGCAAAATAACTACCTTCAAAGACCACCGACTTGAAGATGTGTTTCCGCCAAAACGGTCAAGCATAGTAAGAAAAAAAAAGGGGTGCGAATTCCCACTCCCCAAGAAAAAAAACCGAGAGATACAAAAACTCGTTTATAAACAGATGTCTCCGTAAACTTGTGTGGATTTTAAATTGTATTCATCTTATTGTTAATCATAGATTTTAAATTGTAGATATTAGATTATGTAGATTATAAATTGTATCTATCTTGATTTCATTCGGGATTTGATTGTTAAGACTCACGTCGGATGAGTCTAATGTTTTTCAATAAGAAATAAAAGCTTCATTCATTCGTTCGTTTCGTTCGTCCGTCCGTCCGTTCGCTAGTTCGTTCGCCCGTCCGTCCGTCCGTCCGTCCGTCTGTTCGTTCGTTCGTTCGTTCGTTCGTTCGTTGGTTCATTTGATCGTTTATTCATTCCATCTGAGAAAGCCTTGCAACACCAGTAGTAGATGTAAACATGATTTCTATCATAAATAATTGCTTCAAGTAAAACCATTCTTCTCGAGAATTGAAGAAAATGCTTGTCCTTGCTATCTGTCCTGAACATAAATCACATATAGCAAATCAAAATTACACATATGAAGACATGATTGATCATCGCAGTTATATGCTCGCAACGTAGCCAGGCTCCCAGTTGGCTTGGTAGCTCAGTTCGTAGAGCACTATACCGGATCGCAGAGGTCATGGGCTCGAGTCCTGTTTAAGTCTGAATTTTTTTCATTTTTTAATTCCACAGCTTCTTAAGCTGTGTACATAACTACAATAATCAATTATGCCTTTATATCTTTCTCCACAGTTCTCATTCATGATCCTCCACATGTTCACTTGAAAATTACATGTAGTAAATGATTCGTATCTATTAAATCACCTTTTTTCCAATGTTAAGCAATAAATTTTGAGATCAAGGTGTTTTCGAGAAAATAGTTCAAAATTGGTTTCTCTCGTGCCCTTGTGAAAACCACAAAAATAAACATCGGTCGTGGTATTACGTGGAGGGCAGAAAAAGAAAAACCTAGATGAAATTAAGAAAAAAAGCTGTTTTGAGATCATTGGTTGTTTCTTTAAATTTAAACTTTTATAGCGGTTTGAAGATTTTAAAAATTGAAAAGATTTGTACGAACAATTCAGTAGCTGGCTATTTTTTACGGCAACCTGAGAAATCCTTTGCATTTTTTAAGCTTTCGATCAAACCACTATCACATCTTGCACCGAAACATCAGTGGTCTACGAAAACTCAGGCTGACAATGTTGGTAATTACATCACGCTGCTCATGCCTCCCATGTAGACTGCGAACAGTCTCTCTTTCGTTATTTACAAATCACAAGAAATTTACAGGCTATTTACAGTATTTGCAGGAACAGTTTACATGTTATTTACAGTGTTCGAAAATCGGTGGGGAGGAACAGCAAAGAAGAACGCAACGACAGTGAGTGGTCCGTGAGCGCACGAGCGCAGATTCGCTTGCCTTGCGTTCTTCCCCACGGATTTTCGAGCAAAAGAGAGGCTGTTCGAAATGTTCTTCCCTTTTAGTTCCACGAACATTCCTCGATGATTAAAAAAGCGAAGGTTCTTGGAATGGCTTATTAACAATTTTCTAACGCACACTCTATATTGAGTTACGAATATGATCCATCAAAAATTCGCCGAAACAAAATAGAATGCTCTCGAAATAACATGCCATTATTATATTGATAATTATGACTAAGATTTTGGCCAAAAATGACGTGTTCACATTTGGTTGATATTATGTTAGTTTTTTTGTCAAAATTTGGTCAGTGATAATAAATAATAACTTGACGCTTGATGTCCGCAGTTAATAACTTTGTCAAATAAAATTCTCAGGACAGAATATTTTGTGCAATCCAGCATTCCATTGCAACACAGTTTCATTACAGTTGTAATTAGTTATTTTTATGTGTGTTGTTGTTGTTGTTGTTGTTGTTTTTAAGTTTTCAACTTCCAAGAACAATCATGTTTATTCCATACAAAACTGAAGAAAACTTGCTATAGTCTAGATATCTTTTGTATTCCGATTCCAAAATGTCTGTTCCCGAAGACCACAAATGAAATAGATTGATATCAGCCGTGAAAACCTGAAGAACTTGAATATATATTTCAATCAGATTCATATATTGATTAGAAATAAGTGTTAAATTTTTAAAATTCTACTATAGCAAAAACAAACTATGCATCGATGCTTGTCTTACGCTATATTTGGTCTATATTTGACGTAAGTAATAATTTTAGCTTTCTCAGTTTCTAATCGAGTCAAATAAATATTTCCCTTATTGTATAGTTTTAAATTTCACTTAGTTATAGTTTTGCGGTTTAAGCCTAGCTGTTGGAAAACGTCAGTTTAACCAGTCACATTTAAGATCGGCGAGTGGAATTCATTTCTTGAAACCAAAACATCTTTTCCGTCGGCGAACTTGTTAGGAAATTTTCTTTGTGGTTTTAGTGGGGCGTGTCTTTAAGGCCAAAGTTTTTAATCCATTTCGCTTCATTTTCTCTCCACGAATACAGTAGAAGATAGCGCTTGGCTCCGGCAATATAGTCGCCTGACTCACATTTCTATCACCAAATAAGAAGGAATGAAATTAATTGCAAATGAATCTAATATAATGAGATATTTAAGATAATAGCCAAAGTACCGATTGATTTGCTTCCCGATAATAAGCTGGATTACAAAGGATTTAGCAAACCATACACACGATTTCGCGATCGTCTAATTGGTGTGTTTTGCGGATCATGGTGTCAGCTGTGTCACTTTTCTTGGTTGATACCTGTCCTGCCAATAATACCCTGGATAATCTTAAAGAAAATAAGAGATAACCTTGAATCATTTAAATAAAGTAGAAACTTGAATACACAGCTTCATATACGCTCTTTCGTTAATAACCGTGACCCAAAAAGCGAGACATCTGAAATCATAGGATTATTTAATAATTGATAGAGATTTTTCCTTTTTGTGTTTTTAAAATCATCTAAGTTTTAGTTTCGTGTTGAGGGCAACTGATATTAATCCTTTACCTGTGTTGTTTACGAAACTATATAACGAGCGGTATCTCGAGTAATAACTGTAAATATATTCGTGTGAGAACAATCATGGATTTTTAACGTCCAGCGGCGCTTGAATTCCACAACAGAGAACAGTTTTAAAAATTTATCGCCCTGCGCATCTGTTACAGAAATTGAAGACTTGTTTACGTGAAAAGTTTCGTTGATTAGCTCATTAACAAAGACACTATAAGGTCAAGCTGGTGCCTTGGCAAAATATTTTCGCTATCGGCTGGAATAACACGAAAATACACTGTGAAAGCGAGTTGTCCCAGCCCTGAAATGATCTGACGTAAGTTTAAATTCTTCCTAGTGTTAGTGAGGACAAAAAATGTTCTAGTGAAGTTTTATTGTAACTACACAATAAGACAAGAAATGTTTGCACTGAAGGAGAGCGGCCGAAGAATAACATTAAATGTTCAAGGATGTCGTTTCGAAACTTTCCAAGAGACACTTGAAGAATTTCCTGAAACTCTTCTCGGTTCGGAAGAAAAACGAAGAAGGTTTTACGACCCACAACGAGACGAGTACTATCTAGAAAGAGACAAATGTGCGTTCGACGCGATCCTGTTTTATTACCAATCCAGAGGAATTCTATCCCGGCCTGCAACAGTTCCAGCAAATGCGTTTGACGAAGAGCTAAAGTTCTACGAGATCCGAACAGAAGAACCTGAAGAGCAAGAAGGCAAAGTGAACGTTATACCTGCCCGAGAATGGCAAAGGAAGCTGTGGGAATTACTGGAATATCCTGAGTCTTCCAGGCAAGCCGCGTTGTTCGCCAAACTTTCAATGGCTGTCATTGTGTTGTCTATTATAGTATTCTGTGTGGAGACCCTGGATATGGCGTCAACAATAGCAGGGAAATCTTTGTCCTCTCACAATGACACCAACAATAAGACCTTTGTAGATCGCGAGAGGGACAAACTCCAGAAAAGACCAAAACTTTGGTTTGTAATTGATACCTGCATCATAGTTTGGTTCACTTTTGAATACGCCGCTCGTCTTGTCTCGGCTCCAGAGAAGATCAAATTTGTTTTGTCCACACTGGCGTTAATCGACCTGACCGCAATAATTCCATACTTTCTCTCCTTGTTTCTGGGCGACGATTATGCGCCCGCGTTTTCATTCACGATCATGCGTATCTTTCGCCTGTTGCGAGTGATACGACTGCTAAAACTCACGCGCTACGTAGCAGCTCTTAAAATTCTCGGCTATACCGTCCGTTCCTGCCAAGAGCAGCTAACCGCGTTAATTTTTCTAATCTTAATATCGGTGGTGTTATTTTCCAGTACAATTTACTATATCGAAAATAAGGAAAATTCTGAACAGTTCGATAGCATCCCTGCCTCGCTTTGGTGGGCGATTGTCACCATGACAACGGTCGGTTACGGCGACATGGCGCCAGTCACTCCGTTTGGAAGAATAGTGGGAGCATTGTGTGCCATATTTGGAGTTGTGGTCATGGTGTGCCTTCCAAGCCCCGTGTTCATTTCAAGCTTTAATGAAATCTACATGCGACACATAGGACAAATGAGGAAGAAGAGTAAGCAAATTGATGCTGACAACACTAGCCTAAAGGTCAAAAGGACTTGGCGATCTGCCATAAAACCTTCAAATATTTTACTTATCAGAAAATTCTGCGGCGGGCAGGAAGACTAGATTGCAGGCCTTGCCAGTCAGGAAATCCAACAGAATATTTCTACCCTTTGCATTAGTCAAGTCTGATTAGGAATCTCGATATTAAGTTGATAAAAAGAGCTGCGGTTTATTAGTTGAAGTTTTGGACTCAAGCTGGTCAGATCTAGGTAAGCCTACTTGCAGACCTCTATATATCATTTCACTTTTTCCTTTTGCATGTAGGCTAATCTTGGTTTGTGCTTTTCCCGAGTCACCGGAACGTGAAGAATGTTAAGACAAGACACTTAACTATCACTAAGTTTCATTCCAGCTATAAGCATGAACAGATATATGTATCACTAGTCCATTATTGAAGAAACCACGGCAAAACGCTTTGATGTAAATGGCCTAGCATACAGTGTCAGGGCAGATGAGAGTCAGCTAGTCTCTGTTCGTTGAGGAGGTTACCAATCTAAAGCTAGAGATCGGAAGAGGGGGTCTCCCCAGTTGTATTCATTTTTTTAGAGGATTGTTGGTATGCCTGTGATGTAAAATAGCACGGAGTTTAACCATTCTCCGGTTCTTTGGGATGCTATAGTTCATCTCGGTTTATCCTCACCTTTGCCAACAGGACACTCGTTATGGCTATATGTGCTCCTAAGCCGTGTGGAGAGAGGCAATGCGAGAATAAAGTTCATTACGTTATTTCAAGCACACAACGATGAAGCCTCGTATTCCATCACTCGACGTGATTCCAACGCAGTAACCATAAGACAACCAGGCATCTATGAAAAATTGATCCAGGTGAAATCAGTACTGATGTAAGATGCAGAGAACAATCTTATTCGATTTCAGTTTTCAGAAGACGATTGAAAGACTTCTTAGACTCACAGTTTACAGAAAAGGAAGTAATGATTTCCCCTTTTGGCAATCAGTCTAATTGCAAAAACTTTCAATCACTTCATTGCAGTGCTTTTCAACTGCTTTGCTTGTTCATCAGATTTAGGAAGAAATTAAGAAATCCCCCAGATGCTCGAGTAACAAGTGGACAAAAACCTTGTACCGATACATGGTATTGCAAACATTCTGTGTGACTATGTGGCTGTGTAAATATCTTCTTAAAACAAATACTTTATAACAACATACACCAAATGTCGAAAACAAATTTTGAAGTTCATGTCAAACACTTGAAAGTACTGCATGGTGAAATCAAACTGATAACGAAAATCTGTGCTTGCACAATTTTTCAGAACTTGGAAATTTATTTTCTTGAGTTCTCATGGGAAATTGTGTTTGGTGTTATTTCAGGCAACTATTTTTATCTTAAGCTTTTAGAAAATGTAAAAAGATCTGACTATACTTCGAATTATTCTGGTACAAGGTTTTTGTCCATTAAAAACTGAAATGGCTCGATTTCCTATCGGATTTCGTCTTTATTTGCGTGTGTGTCCTTCGATTGTAGTGATGGAAAACCACACATAACAGTCCAATAACAACATTATACACCGTTAAAGCGGCACAGTTTTTGGTACAAACTTATAACAAACGACTAAATCAAAATAAAAGCTGTTCGACTTCTAGTATTGCCCGCCTTGTAAGTCATTTTTGTTTCTGAGGCCATAGCCTGCGAGAAGGTTCTCATTCGCAGAGACCGGCCTGGAAACGACGTTGGCAAAGGCAAAGTTGCCATCCAGGTACGAGTGGCCTCTCACCGGCTCGCTTCGCACGCCCACAACTCTCTCTCGGCTTCACCTTTGCCCGTGCTGCAACTAATAAGAGCCTGCTTGCAGGCTACTGAGACCTCCGTTAATATGGCCCAATTTTTATGGTTTACCACTGAAGAATTAATGAGGAACCACAAAGTACACGGCATTCAAAAAGCAACGTTTGACGTACTAGTAGACAGATGTATTTCATTTTGAAGTGTTTTTGGACTGATTTATAGCGTCTAAGGAAACACAGCACCTTCTATACATATTAAAATAATTTGCTCTTCGCGATAAAGCAATGGATGGAATAAGCCATCGATCCACCTAATTTTGTTATTTGAGAACTAATCCCCAAATTTGATATCTAGATAGATATCAAATATCTAGTGCTGGTTTTATTGTTCTACTGACATGACGAAAAACTTTTTCGAACGAAAACTTTTTTAAATTAACTTTAAGTTCTCAGAGGGTGTTATGTCTGATGAAATAAAACCGTCAGGGGAATAGGTGTTTTTTTTTTGTTTGTTTGTTTTGTTTTGTTTTGTTTTTGTTTTTTTCTATTTCGGAATATGATAACGACACATGAGAACTAACATCCAGTATATATATGGGCTTACTCACGTACTTTAGCCCATTGTTCCTCCCCGAACATAGGGCACCAACAATATTCCGCCATTCTCCTCGGTCCTGAGCTACTCTTTCAAATTGTTTCCATGCGTTTCAGGTCCTATTGATGTCCTTTTCCCGCCGCCAGTCGTTCCGTGGTCTCCCTCTGATTTCTTTGACCTTGGGGCGTTCCAGCCACAGCGCTTACTCTCTCATCGGATGTTCAGAAACCATTATCGAATTTGGACGCATGCACACAATCACAACGGAACCGTAGGCTTTCCTGATGCCGGTAATTTAGTTTGTCTAGACATGGTTAATAGAGGTAATGGTTATGAAACCTGGTAAAGTTCTTTGTTGTATGTTTTTGTTGGCTATTTTGGGAGTTGAACCTGCACAAAACCTGGCAAACTACAAAAGGCGGTTATGAGTGCTAATATACAACTAACCAATAGAAGCATTGCTATTATGTAATTCATGCATACTCAATGAGCATAAAACAAAAGATGTGCAGGGTCAAGTACCTTCCAACATTTAAATCTTAACCTGTTTGTTTGCTTCTTTGAACCATTTTCTCTATTGATAACAAAGGTTTAGGGCGTCGGTCGCTCGGTCACCACTGACCGCGGAAAACTTGAGCAACGCCTCGAGCAATTCTTAAAGAGCATGCGGTGTGACGTAAGTGTTTATAGCGCTGCTCACGTCATGCAGAAATTGTTGACACCTTTTACCATATAAGGTCGTCTGATGCTAAGATTGTCGTAACGTTTTGATACCTGTTTGAAAAATCCCAAGACACATTTCTTGTTTAACACTACAGTAGCAAAAACGTTATAGGATTAATTTTGTAAGCTTTTTGCATGCAGCAAGGTTTGGCAGTATCTTGCAGCTTTTCCCTACGTCTACGGGTATTGCAACAAGGAGTTCCATGATGTGTTAAACTTTGGTTTAAAGAGCCAATTATTTTCAATTTATCTATGTCAAATGGACTATAAGATTTTGTCACTATTTTTAATGATTTCTTTTTATTTGCAGGGATCGAAAACAGCTATATATTTCTGTCAATATTGTCAATGTCTTCTAGACAATGTGTATCTCCTTTTTCTTGGCGGTTGTTGTGGACATATTTTCTTTAAATTGAACTTAACCCCCAAAAAAGTGAATCTAAGAAAAGTGAATCACTTTTGTTCTGTTATCATGGAATCAAATTGATATTTTGGTTTGTGTTCCATCATTTAATTTGTCCTGCAGGTTAACAATATATTCAAGTTGATGGAAGTGCCTTGTATTCTTGTTTACAACTGCATCTATTTTGAAAATATATTTTTAAGATATTTATGGCGATTATTAGTAGTTGAGTGAATTTTCACAGCCCAACGGACTGCTTAGGCACTTGCCTATTGTCTGATGAATAAAAATGCTGGTAAGAACAGTATCATTGAACAATTAGTAGCCAGACTTTTCTTAAAGCGATAATGAGATTTCATCCAAGCAGGAGTCAACTTCGAGCCCAAGTCAAGTCCGAGTTAAAAGTCAAGCTCGAGTCAATTTTATTCTTTTTTCACAGTGAACGTTTCCTTTTTGATATATATAATATCGTTTAATTGTAACTGTTACTGCCAAAAATAATAAAAAATGCAGTTAGGTTTGACATGAAACAGTTTTTCACTGAAGACGCGATCGCGAAGCTAAAATTTCATTTTGCGTATTGAAACAATATACAAGCTTATAACTATACCGATATTGTTCGCTAAGCCTCGCCATCTATTAATTTCGCAGACCATAAACAAAGTCCTCTCCATAAACAAAATCCGTTCACGGGAAAGCAAAATACGTAGGATATGATTATTTTGATGAAATAAATAAGTATTTTACAGGGGAAAAAAATGTTCTGCATCAATATGACCGCGGAGAGAATGCATTGGAACCATTATTTGTTGAATAGGGTTCTCGTGGTGTGGCGATCGATTGTCGCGAAATGCAAATATTTTTATACTCAACGTCATTTTTACAGTGTGTCGTTGAAATCGAGCCTATGCCTCAGTTTGGGACGGAATCTGTGAGGAAAAACTAACAGGTATCGAGGAATGTTTGCTTCTTTGAGAAGCAGCTGCGGAGATGCAGATGCAGTTGCTGTTCTTGTACCTCTAGTACCTCATTTTGACACAGAAATTACACCAAAAGACAGAAGAAAGTCTACCTTATCTGGAACTTAACTAGGGATCGAACTTTATACGAAGATACTCCAATGGTAGTTATTTAGGCCATCCCATTAGAGTATTTTGTTTCCCTTCGCCCATCCGACCGAGCAACTCTGCAGAACCACTACTTTTTTTGCATACTAATATCTTGTTAGTATAATTTCCCATTAATATTATTTTCTGGCTTTCCGAGATAATGGTGAATTCCAGAGTGGGAAATCCATGATGGACTCAATGACATCTTGTGACATCAAATGACGTCATTGCCAACAATAAAAATGTCATCTTGTACAGCAAGCCGAACGCTATGTATTAAACGCAAAAATAATTTACATATGTCTCGTCCGAAGGCTAATCGGCGCGCGATAACGTGGGTGTCCAATTACAGGTATCCAAATTTGAACTTTTTGCAATTGGACACCTGTAATTGGATACCCATGTGACTCGCACGTCAGTTGCGCGCGCTTCAATCGCTTTTTTTTTTGTGCAGTGTTTCTTACAGTTTTCAAAACTTATGAAACGCGCTACATACGTTTTCGCTTAAAAGAAGTTCTCAAAAGACATTTTTAATTCCAAAATTTGTTATAGATACGATTAATTAGTAATTGGACCTCGTGTCGTGCAATTCAGGGAGTAATGGTGCTTTGAAATTACTCGCGCGATTACTCCCTGAATTGTACTCCACTCCGTCCAATTCTTATTACATGTAACCATTGTGTTACCTTCAGGACATCACGATGAAAATATCAAGGCCAATAGTGGAACAGGAAACAAATTTCAATTAACGATTAGTATTGTTATTCGATGCATCTCTTTTTTTTCTTTTTCATTGGTCGAAAGCCTACCACGTGATCTGTAAATAACTGCCTACAAATAATGATCTGCTCATGCGTAGTACCGTCTAAAGGTGGTTTTTGCTACAAATAATATTCTGCTCATGCGCATTGTAACCACGCTCCTGAGTAAAAAATGGCAGATCGCTTTCCTGATCTGTCAGAGAGTAATTTAAATATGAAAACAAACCTGGTGATCGAATGATAAAGCAGTCACCAAACTCGATTATCGAAAAATATCGTGATTTTTCAGCGTTTCGCAAGTCAATTATTTGCCTCGACGACTTTCGGCTTCGGCAAATAATAGACCAATTTCGATATATTAAAATTCAGCCTAAAACAATAGACCTGAGTACGAGGCTCTGGGGAATAAACACAGAGTTTGTGGGGTTTATTCCCCAGAGCCTCGTTCTGAGGTCTATTGTGTTAGGCTGAATTTTAATATATCGAAATTGGTCTATTGATATGCTCCCCTGCGCTGCTGTAAACTACCAGTATTTTGCTCATCCGCGTGTAATAATTGTTGAATATTTTTCTAGGACAGGACGTCTTAGAAACGTTATCGCACCCTTGGCATGCGCAACTCATTGTCATAGCCCCTTTATAGCTACAGGACACTTATTTAGTAACTTTTAACACAACTAGACCAATAGTTCTAGTTTTACGTTTCCGTCATTGAAATAATATCTTTCGGCTTTTTCCCTCTTTGAATTTATGGGCATCATAGTTACCCTTTGACGCTATGTTCTTCAAAAGACCTGTTCTTGAATATTTTAAATGATATTTGCATTGATTACAGCACGATAAATTTAGCAAAAAAATCGCCGTTGCACTCATTGACGCATTATCGCCAGCACTCAAATAGATGCTTGTATTGATTTCCATCTAAGATTAAACCCGTCAATTTTTTGCGGTGCCCGTTCTCGTAACATGTGTTTCTCTGATTATTAATATCACTCACATTTAAGCAACGTTTTGGTCATAGCACGGTCAATAAAAAGTCAAAATGTTTATATTTTAGATAGTTGGAAACATTTACACTTCATCTAATTGCGAGCTTAGGTTTTGAACCTATCTCCTAGGTGGTTCATCCTCGCTGTTTTAAAATAAAGCTGTCGGATCAAACGACGCCTTTGAAGAACAGCAAAACTGACAAGCACTTAAACGCCTAAGTTACTTGCCTAAAAGCTTGATATATTAGCGCTTTTAATCATTTTTCCTTAAGTGTTAATGTCGGCAGAGCACCTGTCTGCGTGACGTCATCGAGAAAATGTCGTTTGAGGCTTGTGTTTGAAGTTAAATTTGTAAACACGGTGTATGTGTCATTATTTGTCTTAGCTTATCAATTACGAGGCTTTTCACTGGCTTACTTCTGTTTACGTTTTTTTGAGTGGGCAAATTGGACGCGACAAAATTTGTTTCGGAATCAAGCGGAATCGTGCTAGGATTTTTAAGAAGTATTCCCACTGCTGGAAAGGTTACACAATAAACCCCAATTAAACGCCGTCTAATCCGCAACGCTCACTCTGAGGTGATACATTTCAAGAACGCTGCCGCTTAAGGTAAGCCAGCGTAATTTATTGACTTCTTCTACTTATTTTCCGCTTTCAGGAAAGCACTTGAGTACAGCGTTGAAGATTTAGCACACAAATCCCTTGGATTAGACTGTTTTAAAGTATAAATCAATTTCGTCTCGACCGTTGTGCATACACCCAGAAAATTCGCGGTATTTGAAGCTCCTTAATTAGTTTGTGTTTTAATTTTAGTGTGTCTTTACAACAGAGTCGCATTTTCGTTGTTGCGTGAATATCAATTTATCAATACAAGAGTTTCCACGTTTCGAAACACACTTTCGGCCTAGTTTAGTAGCTTGTTCTCGACCACGCTTTCTAAGCATATCATAATTAAGATAATTATACCTGCTGTAGTCACGAACAGCAAAAAAAAAAAAAAAAAAAGGAAAAACGCTTGTCTCATTTGAATCGTTCGAAACACCAGTTTGTTATCAAACGAGTTGACGACTTTCAGTTTTGATCTTCCCTATTTCTGATCAAATTTGGGAAAACAACCGTTTTATTTCAGTTTCACAAANTTGGAAAATGATCGTAGATAAAATGTCGTAAATAAAATGCCGTAGACAGCTGAGAACTAAATTTGACGTTGTGCTAGAAATATCCAGCCAATTATACAAAAAAAGCCAGCATTTCTCATTGTTTTATTTCATACTTTCAACTCTTATTTTACCACACAAAAGAAGGCAAAAAATAAGTAAATTTACAGAATATTTTAAAATGGCGCTGGATAGTTAAGCCCTAACAAAAAGCATAGAGCATATATTAAACTGAGAAATAAAATACTTGGAAAAAAATGAAATAAATACTATGGCTAAAGTCAGACCGTTAAAAATAAAGCTACGTGAGATATTGCTTGTTTCTCGACAATTTACTGATGAGCACACGTACTGATTTGGAAGCATAGCTTTTTTGTTGTTGTTGTTTGCTTGAATCCGGCCATACACTAAAAGTTCTTTTCTTCGAAAGTTTGTGTATAAATTCAGCTGTTATATATTTCTCAGAAGTCTCACTCCGAACATCTGTTTTAATAGCCATACCATGATTTTTAATCAGTGGCGAATCTCGGGAAGGGGTCTGGGGGAGCCCGCCCCCCACCTCCCCCTTATTTTGGGTGAAAAAGAAGAAATGACTGAAGGAAGAAAAGCCGCCGGCAGGGCAAGTGAATCAAAACCACCACCCCCGGCCCCCCCGCTTAGCTCAAAGTCTGGATCTGCCACTGTTAATCGTTTCATTTCAAGTAGCGAGGCCAAAACACTGATTAGAAGTAATTGAGTTTTGACGAGCCTCTTGGTGGAACAAATCATGTTACATTATGTTTAAAATTCTAAACATCAATTCAAAGTATTAATTTTAGTGAGGAGCGAATGAGATAAAGAATATGACTTCATTGAAATGACATCCCAACTAGTGTGGTAGATGTCTGTAGCATATATAATATTTGTTGCTTAAATTGTTTAGTTTGCATTTAAATTCATCCGTTTCTCACCTAACACATAATACAGACTTCATTTTCACGCAATTTATTTCCTTTCAGTTTACTTTATGCACCGTTGCTTGTTTCTACTGGAACATTCTGTACGATAATGATGCCGACCTTAGTCGCAAATATTCGACGCCGGACCTCCTGGGGGGTCTTTACAGAGCTTTGTGCGGTCTAGACGCCTCTGTAGCGGACTATAGGGAATGCATAACGCCGTATCTAATGAAGAAAACGCAAACGCAGATTCATCTTGCATCTTCAGCATCTAAACGAGTTCATAGCACTGAGAAAACCGTATAATGCTTAAGGCGTATAACGCTGCTATCAATCTACCTCCTTTACAAACACCACGGCCTCGAAGAGTTCAAAGTCATATCCCAACTTATATCCCAGCCTACACAAGCCCGCGAATTATCATCAACGTTAGCGGTATGCGTTTTGAGACGTACGAAGAGACCTTGGAAAATTATCCGGAAACGCTACTCGGCTCTCCGACGAGACGACGAGAATACTATAGCTCGTCGGAAGGCGAATACGTCTTTGCGCGAGACAAACCGTCGTTCGACGCCATTTTGTTTTTCTACCAATCGCGCGGCATTCTTGCCAAACCAGACACTGTCAGCGAGGAGACGTTTTTGGAAGAAATCGAATTTTACGGTTTATCTAGCAATTATTATTCAATCCACTGTGATGATCTATCGAGCACACACGAGGATGTGGAGGAAATTTTGCCACTCAGCCCACACAAGCGAAAACTTTGGTTATGGTTTGAGTTCCCGCGATCTTCCCAAACCGCGCGCGTGCTTGCGCTGTGGTCGATTTTCGTCATAATTTTCTCCACTGTTGTGTTCTGCATCGAAACTATTCCACAGCTAGCGATCGAGCCACGCATCATTTACCAAAACATCAGCAAAGACGGAAAGTATGTGCTTGAAGAGCACAAAGAGCCAACTGTGGATTACTGGTTCGTAATGGAAGGTATTTTTGTGGCATGGTTTACAATTGAGTATTTTGTACGCCTCTATTCGGCGCCAGTTGTTTGGAATTTCGTCAAGTCCACAATGGGAGTACTAGACGTTCTCGCCATCTTTCCATTTTACGTAACGTTAGCGCTTCAACAGAGCACCGATGAAGTTCGTTCGTTCGCCGTGTTGCGCGCCATCAGACTGTTTCGCGTTTTACGTGTGTTCAAGCTTTCGCGGTACAGTGATGCTATCAAGCTATTAGTTAGTACATTATGTTCCAGCTTTGAGCAACTCAAGACGTTAGGATTTTGCTTCGCGGTGTCCGTGGTGATATTTTCCAGCGCTATATTCTACGCCGAAGGAGGTTCTAACATACCGAGTATTCCAGACGCCTTCTGGTGGACTGTGATCACAATGACCGGGGTGGGGTACGGGGACGTGACTCCCCTCACCCCTATGGGGAAGTTTGTGGGTTCGTTCTGTGCCATGAGTGGGATAGTCTTCTTTTGTCTTCCTACACCGGTCTTGGTCTCGAATTTTATCAAGTTTTATCTAAATTACGGTAATCTTAATGAACGGAAGAAAGCTTTCGCTGAGAATCTTAAACAGTTATTTCTCAGGCCAAACAAATAATATAATAGTAACA